TCTCCTGCTGCAAATTTCCCGCGTTTTTCACCTCTGCTTTAACCAAACCAGCTCTGTTTGAGGCCAAACCCCAAGGATGGTGCTGTCCCTGCAGGGCACAGCGTGGATCCGGGCTCTGCCGGGCTCCTGGGCCGAAGGGGACCCCGCTCCAAGCAGCCCTTCATGGTGACATTTTTCCGGGCCAGCCCCAGCCCCTCCCGTGTCACACGAGCAGCCAAACCCCCGAGGAGGAGACAGCACAAGAAATCCAACGACCTCCCCCACCCAAACAAGCTCCCAGGAATTTTTGGTAAGGTGCTTCCTGCAGGAGGAGGAGGAGGGATGTCCCTATGGAAAACTCGAGGTTCTGCTTGTCAGCACCTTGAAATCTCAATTTTTTTTTGGCCCAAGGGAAGCAGAGCAAAACGTTCTGAGGTTTTAGGATTGGAGGTTTTTGTAGTTTGGGAGGTGCTGAGAGGGTTTGGGTTGGATGCCCTCAAGGAAATGGTGTTTTGTGAGCGTGTCAGGATTACTGAATATTGGAATTTTTTGCCTCACTGCCCTTGGCTTTGGAGCCCTGGGAAGGTGTCACAGCTCCAGAAAGCTCAGGCAGGAGGGGAGCAGCAAGGCCTGGGTTTGGGAAACCCTCAAAGTGAGCAAAGCTGGGGTTTAGCCCTTCCAATGCTGAACTCCTTCATCCCAATATTGGAATATCAATTCATCGGCCAAGCTGGAGCCGCTTTTCCCTTTGTGCAGCAACTAAGTCTCATCTCCTTTGGTTCTCCTGGGCCAATCCCAATCCCAGGGGGTGTATCCCACCCAATCCCAGGGCTGAAATCCCTGTTTCCTTGTCCCACAGACGATGTGCACCCCACGGATGGACGGCAGGTCTGCCGGCGCCACGAGCTCTACGTCAGCTTCCAGGACCTTGGCTGGCTGGTACTTGTGTGCTGGGAGAAGTAAATGACCAAAAAACACCCAAAAAAACCCCTCATCATTCCATTCCCCCACCCTGGGCTCCCCAGCAGGAGAATCCTGCCCATGGAACCATCCCAGGAGCTGGGAAGGCAAACAGGAACTGCCACAACCCCAATCCCCACCGGTGACCCCGAACAACCCATGGCTGATCCAAAAAAACCAAAACAAACCCTTACTGAGCTGTTTGTGCAGGTGGGGAATGGGTGAGGGGGCACAGAAGGTGAAGCCCTCCATGTAATCAATTTTTTTGTTATTTTTGCAGGACTGGGTGATTGCTCCACAGGGATACTCAGCCTACTACTGCGAGGGGGAGTGCGCATTCCCGCTGGACTCGTGCATGAACGCCACCAACCACGCCATCCTGCAGTCCCTGGTGAGTGCAGGGCAGCCCTGGGAGGACATCCAGGGCCCTGGGGAGCACCCAGAGGATGAGCTGGGATTTTGGGATAAGCACGGCTGGGTTTGGGGTGTTCAGGTGGGAAGGCACAGTTGGGATCCCGATTGGAATAAAGAATTATGCATGCACATCTGGGGGGGTGAATGCACATCTGGGGGGGTGAATGCACATCTGGGTGGGTTCATGCCCAGCTGGGTGGGTGCTTGCACATCTGGGTGGGTGCTTGCCCATCTGAGTGGATTCATGCCATTCTGGGTGTGTTTTTGCCCATCTGGATGGGCACTCACACATCTGGGTGGGTTCATGCCCATCTGAGTGGATTCATGCCATTCTGGGTGTGGCTCTGCCCATCTGGATGGGTTCATGCACATCTGGGTTGATGCTCACACATCTGGATGGGCACTCACACATCTGAGTGGGTTCATACCCATTTAGGTGGGTGCTCACACATCTGAGTGGATTCATGCCATTCTGGGTGGGTTCATGCACATCTGGGTGGGTTCACGCCCATCTGGGTAAATGCTCACACATCTGGATGGGCTGCTCCCACATCTGGACGGCTGCTCACAGGCTGGCCCCCACCACAGGCTGACAGGAGGTCCCAATATGGAATTTCAAGGCATTTGTGGACAGAGCCAGGGTGAGGGCACAAAGCTCTGTCCCTCATCCCCAACCAGAGCAGAATTTTGTCACCCCAGAGCTCCCTCACCTCCTGATGTTCTGACTGCTCCAGTTTCACAGCAGCTGGGGCAAAACTGATGATTTCTGCCAGATTAATGATCCCTCTGCCCTGGCAGTGAAATGAGGAGCAGAGACAAGCCCAGGGCACACCAGAGCCCCCCCAAAAAACTCTCAGTGTCATCCCTACATTCTCCTCTCCAGCTGTCCCCGAGGCTTTACCCACAGCCCCAGCACCCAAACGTCGGGCTCAGCACATTCCCAGCCAGAAAAGCTCCAATGCCTTGGGTTTGTTTTTTTCCCAAACCCACCCCACATCCCAGCCAGGGCTTTAATTTCTGGAATTTCCTGCCCTGTGAGTGTTTGGTTTCCCAATGGCAGAGCCCGCCCGGCTCCGGTGCTCGCGGTTAATTACAGGGAGCGCCGAGCCCTCGGCCCGGCCTTTGAAGGTGTTTTAATTTTGACATTAACAAAACTTCCAGGGGCTGGGAACCATCCAGGGAGGGGCTCTTTTTCCCCCCCTTACACCCACCCATCGCCCCCAAAGCCAGCGCTGTTCCCAAAACGGAGCTGCTGGGGCAGGATGTGAATCACCTGGAGCCGGCCCTGCTGGGAAGAGCCAGGGCAAAGGCGGCTGTGGAGCCGTGCCAGCCCCAGCCTGAGCTGCAAATAGCAGGGTTGGAGAGCAAAAACACCGGACTTCCGAGCTGGGAGAGCTCGGCTGCCCCTGCTGTAAATGAATCGCACATGTCGGGGCTCCTGTGTGCTGCCAGCCTCCTCCAGCCCCTGCCCGGCAGGAAAACAACGGGATAACGCCTGTCCCCAGCAGGGAAAAGCCATCCCAGAGTGCAGCCCTGCTCACAGAGGTGTTGTGGATTTTAGGGTTTAAGTTTGGGGTGGGGAATCTCTGTTGGAACAACACCCGGCGCACACCGGAGCCTGACCCGTGCTGTGCTGATTTATGGGGTTTTTATTTTAGTCATTTGTCTGTTTTTGTGAGAAAAAGGGCCCTGAAATCCCAAATTAATGAAGGGGCTGCCTGGCCCAGGCAGTGCCACGAGCCCTGATCCAATATAAACCGCAGCAGGGACTGCCTGGAGTTTAGAATAAATATTTTTGCAAAAAGATGGAAATAATCCCCCCATTCACCCGGGGTTTTTTTGGTTGGTTTGCTGCCTGGAGCCACGTTTGCTGGCACTGACGGGCTCCATCCATCCCCCAGGTCCACCTGATGAAGCCTGAGGCCGTGCCCAAGGCGTGCTGTGCCCCCACCAAGCTCAGTGCCACCTCTGTCCTCTACTACGACAGCAACAACAACGTCATCCTCAAAAAGCACAGGAACATGGTGGTGAAATCCTGCGGCTGCCACTGATGGACAGGTCCCATTCCCACTCCTGAGTGTCCCATTCCCACTCCTGAGTGTCCCATTCCCATTCTTGAGTGTCCCATTCCCACTCTGAGTGTCCCATTCCCACCCCTGAGTGTCCCATTCCCATCCCTGAGTGTCCCATTCCCACTCCTGAGTGTCCCATTCCCATCCCTGAGTGTCCCATTCCCACTCGTCAGTGTCCCATTCCCACCTCTGAGTGTCCCATTCCCATTCTTGAGTGTCCCATCCCCACCCTGGATGTCCCATTCCCACCCCTGAGTGTCCCATTCCCATTCTTGAGAGTCCCATTCCCACCCTGGATGTCCCATCCCCACTCCTGAGTGTCCCATTCCCATCCCTGAGTGTCCCATTCCCACCCCTGAGTGTCCCATTCCCACTCTGAGTGTCCCATTCCCACCTCTGAGTGTCCCATTCCCACTCCTGAGTGTCCCATTCCCACCCCTGAGTGTCCCATTCCCATCCCTGAGTGTCCCATTCCCACCCCTGAGTGTCCCATTCCCACTCTGAGTGTCCCATTCCCACTCCTGAGTGTCCCATTCCCATTCTTGAGTGTCCCATTCCCACCTCTGAGTGTCCCATTCCCACCTCTGAGTGTCCCATCCCCACTCCTGAGTGTCCCATCCCCACTCCTGAGTGTCCCATCCCCACTCCTGAGTGTCCCATTCCCATTCTTGAGTGTCCCATTCCCACTCCTGAGTGTCCCATTCCCACTCTGAGTGTCCCATTCCCACCCCTGAGTGTCCCATTCCCATTCTTGAGTGTCTCAATCCCATTCCTGAGTGTCCCATCCCCACCCTGGATGTCCCATTCCCACCCCTGGATGCCTCATTCCCACTACTGGATGTTCTTTTCCCATTCCTGGATGCCCCATTTCCATCCCTGGATATCCCATTCCTGTCCCTGAGTGTCCCATTCCTGTCCCTGAGTGTCCCATTCCTGTCCCTGAGTGTCCCATTCCCACCCCTGGATATCCCATTCCTGCCCAAGTGTCCCATTCCCGTCCCTGGATGTCCCATTTTCACCCTTGAGTGTCTCATTCCCATTCCTGGATATTCCATACCCACTCCTGGATGTCCCATTCCCATCCCTGAATGTCCCATCCCCACCTCTCAGTGTCCCAATCCCATCCCTGGATATTCCATCCCCATTCCTGAGTCCCATTCCCATCCCTGAATGTCCCATCCCCACCTCTGAGTGTCCCAATCCCATCCCTGGGTGTCCTTTTCCCATCCCTGGATATTCCATCCCCATCCCTGAGTGTCCCTTTCCCATCCCTGGGTGTCCCATCCCCATCCCTGAGTTGTCCCCTCCCATTCCCACCAGAGCAATGTGACCCCAGGTTATGCATGGAACAGGAGCTTTATGGGCTGCAGCAGAGCAAAATCCATCAATAATAACAATTAATAAAAAATAATCCACAAATAAACCCCTCCTACCCCTTTCTAGAAGAGGATGTAAATAATACAAAATTTCCTTTTCCTTATCCTGCTTGATGACACACAGATATATACAAACATATATATATATATATAGGAAAGAGAGGATTTTTGGCTGATTCTGTTTTGTCTGTGACTGATGAGTTTTCCCTGTGCTGGAGGCATTTTTGGGGGGCAGGCAGCATTCAGGTTTCTCTGGGACTGAGCTGTTTCTAGCTGTGTATTTCTCCACTGACCCACCTCTACCCAAGTGCTTTTAATTCCCTTAATGAAAATATCATCAGCCAATTAAGCAGCTGGCTGACTAAACCCCCTCCTGTTTACCCAAAGTTCACCAAACTCAGCCAGTTGGAAAAAAAATAAAATATCCATATTGAGCTACAGCACTGTTATAAAATAAACGCAAAGTTTGGAAAGTAAACACGGAGTTTCTCTTGCTCTTTGTTTTTTAATGTCACAGCACAACAGGGCTCTGTTCACAGGGCCTTTTGCAATGAAAAAAAAAGACTCAGAATTGGCTAAATTTGTACCTATTTGCTTGAAAATGAGCCCTGATGTGAGTTTTAGGTCAGGCTGTGCCCATCCCGTGGGCTCCCAGCTGGGCTGTGACCGGTCCCAGGCAGCTTCCCCAGGTTATTTGCACAATTAAATTATTTATTTGCTCTGATTTTAAAAGGAAAAGGCCTGTCCTGGTTGTCAGCTCGGATACCTGGGGAACCTTACACCAATAAACAAGGAAAGAACCTGGCACAGTCGGGGAAAAATCCCAATAAAACCCCAAATTTTGAACCAAAATAAGGAAGGTTTGCTCCCTGTCAGTGCCCAGCTTCCCAAGGAAAGGTTTTGTTTGACTGGGTAATTAATTAATAATTAAGAATTAGCGGGTTCATGGCCCTAATATTAATTCCACACCAAATCCAGCTCAGGATGCAATTCTGGCCCTGTGGGATTTGGTGCTTCCTGCAGAGAGAACACCCAGGCCTGGCACTGACTCTGAATTCTCCCTCTCAGGTCTTGCTGAAGACTTTAAAATGTGGGATTTAAACAAAAAATAGGGAGCAAGGAAGGGGAAAGCTGGGCTGGTTTGTCTGTCAGGAATCACACCCTTGCATCTCACCTTGTCTGAGTTTTAGGATAATGCACAACCCCCAACCACCCTAGGAAACCAGGCAGCGAAAAATTGGTTTTTTTAATGGAAAAACAACACCACGACTTGCGAGGGGCTGGGCTGGGCAACCCCAAAATCCCCAATGGCAAAGCACTTCCAAAGATCCCCAAAATCCAAACATCAGATATTCCTCTCCATCTCATCCCTCCTGCCAATATCTGCACAAGCTCAGAACCAAACCCCCCTTCCATAATTTCACCGGAAACCCAAAATCCATCAATCCATAAGTGCAAAGCCAGCACTGCCCACCACAGGAACTATAAATCCCTGTGGTTTATCCCACTCTGCAGGCTGGAAATCCCTTCCTACAGCCTCATCACTCTGGGTTTTTTTTTATTATTTTTCACCACTCCAAGGGCTCCCTCATTTCCTGGTGTTCTCCCAGTGAACACCCTCCTTGGGGATGGGGATGGAGCTGGACCAGCAGGACAGACACCAGCCAGGGATCTGCCTCCCTCTGCTGCTGGAAAAGGACACTACAGAGCCAAAAACACCTCCAGGAGATGCAGCAAACACCAGAGGTTCAGCTCTGCTCTGCTCTCCCTGGCACAGCTACCTTCCCCTGCAGCCAGGATTTAGGCACAGGATTAATGAAGATGAAGGCAAATACAAAAAAAAATTAAAAAAATAAAAATAAAATCTTTGCTCAAAGACCAGCCTCCCACAGAGGGAATTCAGCAGGCAGGGTCTCAGTATTTTCAAAACTAGGTTTTATTTTTACCATAAACATAAATTTTTTTTTTCCAGAACACGGCTGCAGGACCAGCCCAGCCCAGCTCGGGCAGCGCAGGCTGGGAAGGGATTTGGGATTTATGCCAGGAAGGATAAATCCAATCCCGTTGGCAGGGAAATTCCTATGGAAGCTGCAGGATGGGCAGTGCTGGGGGGTCCCTGGGGTGCTCCCTGGTTCTCCTCCAGGCCAGGCTCCCTCCAGGCACAGAGCTCAGGCGCACTCCCCGCAGTCGGAGATGATCACCTTCTGCTTTGGCTTCCCATCCTTGGTGCCCTGAGCCTTGGGGGGAACAGCAGCAGCAGCTCCAGGGGTGACTCCTCATGGCAGGAAGGGGGTGGGCTCTGCCCCCAGCTGCCCCCTGCCCTCACCTACCTCGATCTCCCTGACCACGTCCATGCCCTCCGTCACCTCCCCGAACACCACGTGCTTCCCGTCCAGCCAGTCTGTCTTGTCACACGTGATGAAGAACTGGGAGCCGTTGGTGTTCGGGCCCGAGTTTGCCATGGACACCATCCCTGGGGGTCACAAAATGCACAGTGAGGGCTGAGCCAGGGGCTGCTCCTTCAGCCCTAACCCCACACCCCACAGAATCGAAATCCACAGAAACTGGAAATTAATTATGCTCAGAAACACTTGCAAGTGAGAAGGATGCTCAGCTATTTTTAGCTGCAAAGCTGTTTGTATGGAGATAAACCTATTTGCTTGCTCCTGCCTTTCACAGTCCTGCTGTGACACTCCTCGTTTAAAACCAAGCAGGAAAAGCAGCTTTGAAATTGTTTTTTCCTTTATGTAATACTGCAGATAAAGTGGATGGAGAGGGAGCGATGCATTTGGTGAGACACAAGGCTCTGAATGTGGCAGAAAAACATGCCCAATGTAGATTATAATAATTATAATTATAATTCAAGGCTGCTGCTATCGGTGGTGGTGTTCACAGGGATCCCAGGACAAGGGAAGAGGTGAGAATGTTGACTCCATGTTACAGAAGGCTGATTTAATATATTACATTAAAAGAAAATGATATATTAAAACTATACGAAAAGAATAGAAGAAAAGATTTCATCAGAAGGCAAGCAAGGAAAAGGAATGGAATAATAACAAAATCTTGTGACTGCTTACAAGATTTTAGGAATAGAATGATAATAAAATCTCACAAGATTTTAGGAATAGAATTATAATAAGCAGTCTCGTGACTGCTGACAGCCTCGACACAGGTGGCTGTCATTGGTCATCAAGCAAAAACAATTTCACATGCTGGCTAAACAATTCTCCAAATCACATTCTAAAGCAGCAAAACATGGAGAAGCTGAAGCTGCTCAGCTTCTCAGAGGAAAAGATCCTGGCAAAAGGATTTTTCATAAAATATGTTTGTGACACAAGGGTCTGAATGTGGCAGAAAAATCTGGCCAATGTAGATGATAATAATTATAATATATAATCATATTACATATTTATATTATATTTATATATGTTTGTATAATATAGTAATATATACAAATAATATAAATATATATTATATTTATATACTATATAATTATAGTATATAGAAATATAATATCTATTATATATAATAGATACAATATTTCTAGATATAATATAATATAATATAATATAATATAATATAATATAATATAATATAATAATGAAAATATATAACATAACATAATACTATAATACTATAATTATATATAATATGCATTTATATAATATATAATTATGTATAAT